ACTCTGAAAAACAAACTGAGGGTTCTAGAGGGGAGGGGGGTGGGAGGATGGGTTAGCCTGGTGATGGGTATTAAAGAGGGCACATTCTGCGTGGAGCACTGGGTGTTATGCACAAACAATGAATCATGGAACACTACATCTAAAACTAATGATGTATGGTGATTAACATAACAATAAAAAAAAGGGGGAGAAAAAAAAAACCGGCCTGCACAATCACATTTCCTTTTCAGTCTTCTTTATTCTAATTCATCACAGGACAGGACTGACCCTGGATTTGTGTTTGCACTCAGGTTATCTTTAGATTGGCTTTACCTTGATGACCTAATGCCGCCTCTGGCATAATCCAGTTACTCAGGGGAATATCAATTAAGGCCCTCAATCACACTAATTAGAATGTCTTCTAAGTGTTGCCCTAGGAATTCAGCAGCTTATAGACAGGCAAATTGGGAAAATCTAGAGGTGTGAGTTTTGTTTTGTTTTTTTCATAGCCAAAAGCAATTTGGGAGGTAGAGTGCTTTAGCATAGCTAAGTATTGGAGCTGAAGTTACTGTGCCCTGAATCTGCAATGAAATATCTAGTTGTTCTCCACTGACAATGATTAATGCAGAATTATTAATTACTTTTATTAATGATTGGATGAGGACGTAGGTGGCATGCTGATCAAGTTTATAGATGACACAAAGCTAGGAGTTAAACAAGTATTTCGATGGCAAGCTCAGGAGACAAAATGATTTCAAGACAGAATTTAGTGGCAATCCATCCAATACAAGCCCAGAAGAAACGATCTCCAGAAGGCACAATCACATCAGTCTTCTAATCAGAAACCGTCAGTGGGTCCCTATTTTCTGTTTAAATTAAATCCCAAGTCCTTTGCTATTCAGGGCCTTGCCATATTCTGATCCTACTACTCCTGCCTTCCAACAAAGTCTTCTATAGTTCTTTTACTAATACCCTGTGCTTGAGCCAAACTGAATTATTTATAGACTATTTCTTTTTTATGTTCCATGCTTTGCCTGTCTCTGAACATTATTACCTACGGAGTTTCTTTTCCCCACTTTCCTTCTGCTTCAATTCAGTTCTTGCTCAGTCAAAAGCTCCCTCTTGTACTTAGTCTTCTTTGATTGCCTAGGCTGGAATAATCTCTTTCTTTTGTTAATCTTCAGTAACACTTACCTGTTCCTCTCTGTGTTTATCACTGTTTACTTTGTATAGTCATTATTTTTGTACCCATTTTAAGTCTCTGCTAGGCCTTCTTAGTGCTATAGCTTCTGTCTGAGAAATCTTTGCATATCTTAGAGTGCCTCTGCATTGTGTCTTCTTCATAGTTGATGATGATGAAATGGTCTATCTCCTCTCCTGGGGAGAATTGCCTTTAGAGGAGGCTCCACCTCTTGCTCACCAGAGGCCCCTGCAATTGTATCAAAGAGACTTGTAAACAGAAAGTGCTTCACACACGTTTCAATGACTAAATGAATGACTGATAGAAGAGTTCCTGAGGTTAACGGTGTAGGTATTGGAAGAGAATGGTGGTGGTAAGAAAGAAACCTTTAATCTCTGAGGTAAAAATGGTTGTTTAGGATATAATAAACTCACTTGTAACTTTTGAACAGTCATGCTAAAGAAGGAAGCACAAGTATGAACTAGAGATTTGTGGTGATGTGTGGTCAAGAGAGGTGAATGCTGTTGGATACTTGCATTGTCCTTTAAAGTGACGATAGACCCTGGATTGCTTAGGCAGTACCAGTTTATACCTTTTGTTTCAGGGGCATCCTCTTCCAGGTGTCTCATTTCAAGTGCTGTTATCTGGCCACCCTATTTATCAAATACCTCTTTGCACTTTTCAAGATGGTGGGTCCTTTTGGTGGTGAAACTTGTGCCATAGGCTTATGTTGGCTGGAGGTGGGTATAAATCTCATCTCTGGCACTTACTAGAAAACGTGATCAGGACAAGTTACCAAGACCTCTGTAAGCATTCTTATGTGGCTGCTGTGCTCAAAACAGCGACAATCTTGAATATGGACTTTTTCAGTAATATCCATGTGTCAGTACTTATAACCCTATCAAGATTTTGTCGGGGGGAAGATATGTCTAGGGCAGTAGGGTTTAAATATTCCAGAGTTGTTAAATCTCTAGGTCTTCCGTATTAGAGATCACACAACCAAATGTAAGGGCAGAGTTCTTGCTACTTGGCAGTTTCAGCTAGTTATCAATAGAAAGGCTAAAGGTAACAAAAATTGGACTCCAGCCTCATCATTTGTCTCTTCCAGGGAGAAGAGGAGAGCAGGCACAGCAGAGCATGAGGTTTAGATATTTCCCTTTACTCTAAATTCAGAGTGTGTTGGCCTATAGACCAAGTCTGCATCCAGGATTTCTAGACCTTCTATTCATCACTAAGAAGGAGAAGTGTCTGGATCATAAAATATTTCCAATTGGGAACAGACCACAGGAATGCTAAGGAGGGGAAGAAGATCAAATTTATCTGCCAGAAATGTGACTCCTGGTGAAAAAGATCAAGAGGAATATTTTTCTTAAGAAGGCAGTTGTAGTTGAATGATTAAGAGAGTTCTGGAGCCAGACTGCTGGAGCTTAATCATTATTCTCCCACTTTCTAGGCAAAAGATGTTGGTTATGTTATTTAAACTTGTCTCAGTTTCCATATCTGTAATATGGGTGTTAAAAAAAAAAAAGTCTTATTGGCTGGTTCCTGCAATTAAATTTGTTAATATTGTAAACATGTTAGAACAGTTCCTTCTCCATCGTTAGCTTGCGTATGCAGTAATTATTACTTAAGCTCTTGAGAGTGGTAAGTACTCTCCCTTAACTTTGTATTTATGTTGACAGGATGGGACTTTTGTGGTGTGTGATGAGTCTCTACTTCTATGGGATCCTACAAAGTGATGCCTCAGGTAAGCGAATAGCTTTTGACAATCTATTAAAATACGAATTACCTATAATATGTCAATTCTTTCTGAAAAATGAGTTAAGACTACATAATGTTTATATCCATTGTCTTCTGTGGTACCACAGAATCATAGATGTGACAGAATCATAGAATTTTGATGATGATACCTCTAGTCTTCAGGGGACACTGTGTACTTGGTTGGGGCAGTGCCCTGGTATGTATAAATACAGGAATTTTCCATCACCTTCACATCCAAACCAACTAGAATCCTGCTTCTCTCCCTTTACCTCAGGTCTACAGTGATGGTAGCATGACTGTTTTCCAAACTTCAGCCAGTGGTGGAGGAGACATTGAGGCTAATAGTCCATTAAGACCTTTTAAGAACAAATGAATAATGATGGGTTTCTGTCATACTGCTGCTATCTAGGAGAGAAAGGACCTACCATTAGGCTCATTTTTTTTTTCCCCCTTTGGTTGTTGCTTCTTAAGAGAAACCAGCCAAGGGTGCCTGGGTGGCTCAGATGGTTGAGCCTTCGGCTCAGGTCATGATCCCAGGGTCCTGGGATCGAGTCCCGCATCGGGCTCCCTGCTC